TCTGCAACAGGAGCAGCTGCTGTTGTGCACAAATCAGTTCCCCGACTGTCCAGCAGGTGGCGAAGGGATGGACATCTTTATTTCTGTTGGTCTATTTCTCCTCTAAGTGAAGTTAGCTCTGAATTTCCTCTCTCCTGCAGTTGTTTTCTAAGTTGCTCCATGTGGTTCTCTACTCTGTTCTTCCTTTCTTTAAACATATTAGCCTCATCCATAGTCTTCTTCATTAGTCTTTCTATGCCCACTACCAGTTGGCCAAGTCCTTTCTTCCTCTCCTGCAGCTCCCAGGTGCATTAAGTAAGATTTAGCACAACACACCTGACACCCTCCTCTCTGGGGTCAAATGATGAGTAAACATCATTTAACTCATATACTGAGCTTCCATAGGAATGCTCTCCCAGTCTGGAGCCTGAGGCAACAGTGCTAACCACCGTGCCACTGTGCTGCCCCCGACTGTTCCCAATGTCCTTTTTTCATGTCATTTTTCAGCAGATTGACCATGTCTGTCAATCAAGGCAAACTGGTTGAAGGCAGTTATATCATTTGGTATTGATTAGTTTTCCTGGATTGACATTCATGTATTATCAGAGCTGTTTTCAGCCATTTAGATTATTTTTTTAAAGCTGCACTAAGTAAAATTTAGCACAAATTTGGATAAAACAGGCCCTGTGTTTATTTCTTGCCCTGTGTGGCCACTGGTGTTAAAACCCACACCGCACTTCTTCCACGCCTCCACTGATTTGAGGTTATAAAATGCATTTTGCAAACCAGTACAGCTCATTTCAAACACAGACTGTGGAGGCTCCCTGTGCAGGTCCAACCCAGGATGGGGCGGACCTCTTAGACCCAAGAGGCTGTGTTCTGTAGCACAGAAAGAGGGTGACAAAGAACGAGGCAAAACCAGAGTTAACATCGGTTTGGCCTGTGGGAGATGGAGAGCACTAAAAGCATCCACAGGACTAACATTTGACCAGATGTGTCTTTCTTCCTGACACTGGGACACTGGGAAAAACTGCATTGGGAAAAAAGCCAACTGTGGAAAAATGACATTTTGAAATAAAAACTGCTGGAATTTAAATAAAAGGGGAACTGTAATAAAGCATGTTGTGAAAAGAAATGTGCATTGATTTTAGTAACTAACCCACTGTCATCTCTCCTGTTGTTATGGAAAATCAGGCCGTTGAACTGGTGCGGCTGTGCTTTGAGCCCCCCGTTGATGCTGTGTGTAAAAAAGCACATCAGCATATGCATTATTATCATAAACTTCGCAGGTTTAATGCCGACACCACTTTTATGAAGATGTTCTTATCTTTTCCTTTATTTATTGGTACGGGTTACTTTCTGTCAAACATAAAAATTGCTTACAGGGTGAAGGTGTGCAGCAAAACTGCTGGCACATCCTTGAATGATCTTCGTGACTTGTAAAATGTCAGATTTCTGAAGGAAGCCCAATTGGTCTTGGCTGATCCAAGTCATCCCTTGTGTGGTGAATTTATGTGGCTTCCATTTAGGTGCAGATACAAACTGCTGCAATGCAGAGCAAACAGGTTCACAAGGTCATGTGTTCCACTTGCTATCAGTCTTCTTAACACTGTCCACACTGGACGATGGAGACGTCCTGTCTGCTGCTGTCGACCACTGTGTCACCGGACCCCCTGCTGTGCCACTGGACCCACCACTGCTCACAGTTCACACTCACCACTGTGACTTACAGTGAAGGTCAGAGGTCAGTGAAGGCACCACCACTGTCTCCATCTACAGGCCCTAGAGTCTGAGCTGCACATATTTAACATCTTAGTTCAGAGGTTGTGACACCAGGTCACAGCAGAGACTGGCTTCAAACATTCCTCACACCAGCTCTGAACTGGGACACACTGGTCCCCAGTAAGGCCTCACTACTGGACTGAGCTGCAACACAAACTCAAGTCAGACACATTTGTTCCTCTGAGACTTTACCAACACAGCTAACAACAGCTGTGATTGTTTCTCTTAGTGTAGCCTTGTGTGCTGGTCTGGGTGAATGAGCCGTGTGTAATTTGTATATTTGTATTTCTGTAATTTGTCTAAATAAAGTGTATCTGACTAAAGAGACTCTGGTCTTTCAATAAATGTGAACTACATTTACCTGATACCTTTAGTTGCTTTGCACATGTAGGTTACTGAAACAAAACAAAGTGATCTAGAAATAAATGAATAAACATTTCCTTCTGTCTCTGCCGAGGTTTTACAAAAACTGCTTCTTCCAGCACCAGATGACACGTCAGCAGCTCAGTTACTGATTGGCTGTTGACTGTCCTGGTCCCCTCAGACAGGTGTGATCAAGTTATGCAATGTGTTTATTTATGTTTTAGGCTGAGTGCCCTGTGTGGGCGTGTCCAGTTCAGATCAGTGTCACCTGCTCAGGTGAGACTATCAACCTACTTACTGGTAATTAGAGCAGAGATGGTGTCGATGAACCCAAACCACAGTGGGCAGATGTAGAAACAATGCATATGCGGAAAAAAAAAAATCACAGATGTGCCACAAACTATTTATAAAAGTCACAGAGCTCAGAGCAGCGAACATACAGGTTACAACAGCTGGAACACTGAGATTAAAGAGACATAGTGTTACTGTAACCTGTGGTTTCTTTAGATGGAACCACTGCTACACAACAATAAAAGACACCTATCACTCTGTCTCCCGTGCAGCCCTCGGACTCTCTGATCACTGTATGGTCTATCTTATTCCAACCTACAGACAGAAATTTAAACAGATTTGTTGTGATCAGACTGAGGATTTCCCCCTCATGTTTTAAGAGTTTGCAGACTCTGCAGTAGATCTGTGAACGCATCCTCGTTCGGGCTCATACGTTGTGCACAGACCTGTTGCTCAGCTGTGGGATTCTGTCTGGGCTGTGTCCTTGATTCCAGAGACAGGAACTGTGTCTTCGATTCTGAATAAAGTGTCACGATAGGTGAGGGCAAGACGGACGAAAGCGAAAGCATTTGTGAAGAATGTTTTCATTAATCAAGTTTGATTAATAAACTTGTGGAACTTTTGGAAGTATGAAGAATTTAAATAACTACCAAATATATCATTTCTGAGATACAAATATACTGAGAACTGAACTAATAGGAGCGATGTCATGTACCAGCAGGCGTCACCAGTAAGCAAAGTATAAAGTACATGACATCCACAATAAGTAAACGTCCTCAGGCTCCACTACTGGACATGGTAACAGCAATGCATTTTAAATGTTAGGGGAAAGAGCACTGGTTTGGATCCTTTTAGCACTGTCATATCTGAATCATTCTCAGGCAAAAACAACTCATTCTTATTATTTTGATGGTCTGCCATTTTATACACTGGGTCGTCTTGTCTCATAACTGGGGTTAATGCTGACTTTTAACAGGCCGTGGCCTAGTTTCTGTGACAAAACTGCCTTAAAAATACTTTGAAGCCAAATAGTTTTACTGGGTTTGGGCATATGTTAACATCAGTGTTCAAGTACACCTGAACCAAATGAAAAATGAAAACCCCTTTGCATTAGGCTTGGTTTTCCACTCAATGTAGCTTTGAGGGTGGAAACATGATCTTTCTCCACTGTACCTCAGTATTTTTGTACTTATGGACTGATTATAGAGACATTATCACAAATGCACCTTCAGTGTGACCACAGGGGGGCGATATCACTCATCACTTAGCATCGTGTCTTACATCAAAACAAATACAGCATCAGAATGTCCAAGTAGTGGGTAGGGCCTGATGTGAACCAAAGTAATTCAGGCAAATCATTCCCATTTCAATAATCATTTAATATTATCATTATGAGAAGAACAGTTCAATGAGAGGAACAGAATCACTGTCCCTGCCTGGAACTAAATAAAAGTAAGGACAATAATCACCTTTATTGGCCAAGTATGTTACACACAAGGAATTTGTTTCCGGTACAGAACCGATGGCAGCCATCTGCGGCGCCACCTCAACTGATGGCTCTAACCATCAGGGCCAACAGGGGGGTTCAGTGTCTTGCCAAAGGACACTTCAACACGTGGACTGCTGGCACCGAGATTTGAACCTTCAACCTTCTGGGTGGGAGACGACTGCTGTACCCAACGCACCACAGTGGCCTCCCCTTTTTTTATTTATTTATTTATTTTTGTATGTGTATATGTCATATGTAGGATAATCACCTTTTAGTAGTAATAAGAGAATTGTCAACGAGTCAGTCAGTCACTGAGGCCACGAGGTACAGTCAGTCAGAGTCCATAGATTTCTAAACATGAACAGAACACACGAACTGTTCACATAAGGCGTTTCCCATTTAAGAAAGGCAGCTCCCTGGATGTTTACCTATAAATTAAACAGAGGACACAAGCCAAGATATTCTTGCTTAAGCAAGAGAAGAGAAACAGATCTCCAAGCTTATATAAACACTGAGCTCACCCTTACATAACTACTACAATTAATTTCTATATATGAACTACACACTATTCTATTACATATTACCTCTGGACTGGTACCTTGCTTGTTTTTAACCACTGCATCCACCATGTAAATTCACCAGGTTTAAAGGGTGAGTATGGAACGTCCAGTATGATGTCGTCATATAAACATTTAAAATAAATTCAGTTTTAATGCTAAGTTAAACTTTTTTTCTGACCTAATTACTAAAGCTCAGTATGTAGAAAATGTTGTAACCCCTTTTGCATGTAAACATTTGATGGTGAAAATGTGCTGTGCCATAAGTTGGAAGATTTCATCATATTGTATCTGTTAAATAGTTCATGCATTAGGAGATGTACGTTCCATTAGTTTGCCAGTTAAATTAAAAAAAGTAAAAGTGGTGTTAAAGTTTTTGAGCCGTTAGAGGTCTGGGTCATTAAACCCAAATGGCTCAAATAATGAAGCCAAGAGCAATGTAAATGATGTAATACCTTAAATGTACATGTTCAGGCTGATGACAGATAAATTACACCATGAAGCCTCCTACCAAATAATGAGAGGAGTCCACTCAGCACCCAGACAAGCAGTGAGAGCCCCACGCTGCTACTGTTCATCAGGACTCCCTTGGGTGCGGTAAAGATCCCACTGCCCACCACTGTACCAATGATGAATGACACAGCAGGCAGAAAGCCCGTCTCTATCCGGAGGTGCATCAGCGCCTTCTGTGTCTTCTTCTTCCTGTGAGCCCCTCTTTCTTCATGTGTCCCATCCATTTGTCTGTGGCTGTATGTTCCACTTGGGCCCTTCAAGTTGACCTAAAGTCAAACAGGTCAAACAGACTTTACCACCCTTTGGCCAAGCAGCTCACTAGCAGACCACTCTGAGTTGAACCTCTATAGGCTAGCCTAATTCAGTAGGAAGACCAGTATTTCAAAGCACAATATTACCATTAAATCCCTGCTGAGAAAAGGGATTTAAAGTGATACAAGTATGACTGGCCATATTCATTGGGAAGAGTTCTTACATGGGATTCGGAAAGAAGCCCTCTGTCTCGGGTGATGCTTGAAAAAGGCAGCAGGAAGGTTATCAAAGTTTTAAAAAGCTTAATAAAGTTTAAAAAATCACTTATATGGAATACAAGAAAGCTAAACTGAAATACAAAAATTAAAGATGCTCTAAAGCTGCAGCTGACGCCTCTGCCCTGTCCAAGATGATGCCCCAAAGCTTTGCTTCCTCTTTTGTCACAGTCTTTTTATATAACAAGTTCAAGGTGCAGCCACAATGTTTAGTCCCCACATTCTTGTCTGGGTGGTCAGTGACACAGTCTGTTATCAGTTCTTGCCCCCTTGGAAGCCTGACAATCCATCACACAGCCAAATTAAAGTTTCTCGGTTTGACCTGGATCTAACACGTGTCCTTCTTTCTGCTTCAAGACCCAGCAGTGGTCCTCGTTACATAGTAAAAACTGTACTTTTAAGAAAATTATATTCTTATATTTGGAATTAAAATCCAATCGGACTTGTTCTGAGTTTGGATTGGATTATGTAGCGTTGACTCCTGCTGCGAGGCTGTTTGACTTAAAACAAATGTCCCTGTTCATTCATTGCGTCCAAGAAGGCCCAACGGTGGCTGTACT